AAATGCGATGTTCCAATGTAAACAGTTGTTGAAATTGATAGTGTATATTTATTTAATTAATCATATCTGAAGACTACAAACGAGCTACAGGCTTAACAAAAATAAAGGAAAATTATTATTACTAATTTCATTTACAGGTCTAGTGCGCTAACAGGCAAATTATATTCAAAATAATTATTCAATGGGTAGTGGGTTTGCAAAACAAGGTAAAAAAAAATGTCATGATTCAACAAAATGATGATTGTTGATAGATATTTCGAAGCAGTATTACCTGATGATAAATTTAATTAAAATACTTAGCCTGAAGCTACCATTTAAATTCATCAAATCTGTATGTCAACATTTATCTGACAAAACTTTTTGCCTACTTAAGTAGCGTAGCTTAAACTGCAGTTATTGTTATTGAATCGCGAACATTTAATTTGTATGCTAGAGACACAATGTCCAAAACAACAGATGTGTCTGATTTAGTTTGCCTTTTTGATAATCAGTATTAAAATCTTTTTAAAGATATTTACAAATTACAAAGGTTTACAACACAATTTTGAGGGACATTATTATAGATCTGATAAATGTTCTCAACATTATTTCTTTGTTTTATGGAAACCTAACAAAATCTCTAAAACTGTCTTTGTTTCTGGTGGGAAAGGCAAATCCACACAAAGAGTATTACCAGTGAAGCTATAGAAAGGAAATTAGTAAGAAAACAAACAAGAGAATATACATCCGACATATAATTACAGTCAATCTTCTTGGCTTTGTTTCTTAAAGGCAAACTGTGATTTTCTCTAATTTAAGAGCTTATTTGATAAGAATTGACTGCACATGTCAATGGAACAATGAATCAAAGCCTCTCTGAGGACAGTTAAACATTTCAGCATTTGGTGTATGTATACAGGAGTTTAGTGTTTATTGATTGTCAACAAAGCTAATGGAAAGCAAGCTGGTGCACTTCCTCCCTAAATTTTAATGATAACAGCAACAGACTGGATATCCATATAGTAAGATTACATAATAATTTCCAATGGAAAACTTGGAAAGGAAACTGCTGTCTCATTAAAAATTAACAACCTATAAGCATTGAAAACAAAAGGCGATGGAAGTAAGCATAATGGTGTAATAGATACGGGTTTGTCTTTCTTTGTAATACGCGACAGATTTACCCCGATAAATCAATCATTGGTTACCAAGTGGAAATTGTTTGAGGAAATATTCACTGCAGATGGAGTGAAAATATTATTAGTTTAATGTAGTGCAGTATGTACAGTGCTCCCAAATCAAGTTTTCATTGGCTTGATGTCCTATGGATTCAACCATTTGTTAATGGGGGTGTTTAAAGTATATTTATCCTTCTATTGATTCTGATTCAGTATGAGTCAATGACATTTGAATATCATCATAATATCCCTCCACAAAAACATGAAATAGGTATATTAGCCATTATTGCTGGTAACCATGTCTTCATACCATAGTTTATAAGTAAAGAATTCTGAATACAATTGTACAATAAATCTGAGGGTAGGAAATGTATAGTGAATTGTATCAACATTTGTTTCTTCCGACATGATGAGTCATGTAATTGTAAGCATATTGCTGGGAATTTATTAACATAATTAATAAAAAAAAACAATCAAAAAACTAGATAGTTACTGGTAGGTTGCATTAAACAGATTAAAATATACTATGTTAAAATAATAAACAGTAAAAATTCAAAATATAAAAGTTGTGAATGCAAATTAACAGATGCACATGTTCATATTTATTTATGTACTCTTTCATTCACTTAATAAAATAAAGTGATTATTTTCTATCGTAATAAAATACATTATTTAATTATTAATAGAGTACGGTTTTCCTCTATAAATCATTTTCTTTATAAATCTGCTAGTTCTCTTTTTCTTTTATTCATAATTTCCTATTGGTTTTAATCAAAAGAACTGGCCTACTGTTGTAACCAACTAAAAACTGATCAACATTTAATATTTTATAAACTAATATTCATTATTTCCTGATATACAGAACATGGGTATTAAATCTATAAACAAAATAAATTGCAAACATATCTGTACAATGGAAAGAAGGGCAAGCGAGAAGAAAACCCAATTAGGGTGTACCATTGATCCATTTATAGATATCAAGTTTAAAAGGAAATATTGACTTACCATAGATACATGATATTAAAAATATACCTATAATTTCAAGGCTCATATTTTTCAGTCCTTGTATATTAGATCTACACACCATCTCATATAAGTACTGTTAATAACTATAGGAAAATGGCCTTGGTGAAATTGACCTCTGAACCAAAATAGCCCTGTTATCCTCCCCCTCCCCACCCTCTCTCTCTCTCTCTCCAAAAGCTAAATTTTAAAAGAAAATGTCCAGCCATAATGTGCAAGGAAAGCACTTTTACATATGTCAAATAAAGCTATAATTGTTGGTATAATTTTTTAAGGGTTTTTTCCTTTTACCAGGGCCATTTTCCACAAAAGTCTGCCTTGCAGAAGAACTGAGGTGTGGTACTCTTTACTCACCTCTTATAAATTCCATTCATTATTATACAATATGCTGAAATTAAATTATGAATCTAATGAATTATTTATTTTAGACAACAATGAATTGATATCAATAAAAATTTAAATAGTTATGCAACATTTCTATATTGAATTAAAAAGTCAAGTCCATAATATAGATCATTAACTGCAAAAAATTATTTTTTCCCATTCACATGTTAATAAAGCACGTATGATATTACCAAAGAAAAGAAGCACCACATTAATAGGATGCATATACTAGTGAGCAAATATCTGGAGAAAAACAACATATGTTTGCATTTTAGAACATTATATTAATTAATTTAATTGATTAATTTTATACATTATTAAGAATACTTTTACAAACCACACCCTATTTGAATAAGCCTAGCAAGCAGAATATTGATCATTTGAAAATTTAATTAAAAAAACTGGTATAAAGTCTTGTCCCTGTCTCTTATACACATCTAGATGTGTATAAGAGACAGTTGTATAACAGTTTGTCAAGATTGAGTAAAGAAATGATTAATTTTTTGTGACGATCCGGAATCGGGTGTAGATCTGAGGACCATTGAAAGGAAAGCGTCCCAGACCACATATTTCGAAAACGGATCAACTGATCTGAATGAAACATTCGGGAAAAGTTTAACCAATGAAGATAGTATTATGCGACGAATCAGACCAGGTGTAAACTGGAGGGTCATTTAAATTTTTGAGAGCCAAGAGGTAAATATCTATAAATGGTGGAACAGAATGTTGCTACTCGGAGTTTCACGCTATTGCGATCGTCAGGCAACTATATATATATATATATATATATATATTGGGCCTTCTTTTTGACTGATAAAGTAATCTAAGAGGGGGAAAAGGAAGGGGTTCCAAAGATAAAAGTTTCCAAATGTATAGTTTATTCCTTAAAAATTTTTACAGTATTTCAAAAGTTCAAATGCAAAGTATAAATACTAATGTAAAATGCTATATGTATATCAGTTGACATTAATAATTCATTAAGATAAGATTCAATGTCTTATGTAATCATACTATTTATGCTATAGTGATAATAACTAAATGGGTTCAACCGTAATAATTTGAAAAAAAAATGAGTGATTGAAATAAACATCACAGATAAAAATCTGGCTGATTTCACGTAGGAATAGCTAATATTTATTATGTTTCCTAGCACAATTGTGAAGGGGGGTCAACTTCCTCCACTGAACCCCTGCTGTCACCGCCACTAATCATAGGGTGAATAAACTACCGTACTGTGTGTGATGTTAATTTTCAATTAGCATTTAGGGAGCGGTGCTTTTAAGATATAAGCCCATCTTAACCCATTAAATTATAGCTTGACTAATAAAATGGTATTTTAGGATAAAAATGATGAATTTAACTCATCTATTTAAATCTCTATAAAAAGCATATTTTGAATATAAAGCTAAAATACAAATCATATCCAATTCCCAAAGGGTCTTCCTAATCCCATTCCCATTTCATTCCCGTCATCAGAATGACAAACTAAGCACAGTCTTAAGATAATCATTGGATGTGATTAGGAAATAAATTATGTTTCTCAAAGTAGGATTACTACAATAATTATGAGTAAAGAAAACGAACAGCATTTACCTTAGATGGCAAAAAAACAAAAATTCAGAAATAGATAAAGACTAATAATATTAATTAAAAAAATCAATGTAAAGTACTGTAAGTATAATGATAATGGTAATAATAAAGATAATAACAATAATGCTAATGGAAAGTATAACAATAATAACAACAATAATAATAGAAATAATAATAACAACAATTAACATTAACAATAATAATAAATAATAATAATATTAATAATAACAATAACAAATAATAATAATAATAAAATGCTAATTATTGTTATTAATGGAATTTATTTTTATGACAAACAATATTGTTTTTTGTTAAACAATGAAAATAAAAACAACAAATGTTTTTGAAATAATGGTAAACATTTAATATTTTAAACAACAAGTTTAACAAAAAATAACCCAAAATACACAACAATAATAATAGGAAATCACAACACAAATCTACGCTAAAGCTTTAATCAATCTTTTATTAAGTGGAAATTATGAAATGAAAACACTAGAGTCAAATTTATCGAGAATTAATAAATCATCAATAAACAATGAATGAAACTTGCGACAGTCACCAAACCAAACTAGACGGAATTAATACTCAAGTAGAATACATTATTACAACCAGTGATTATGAATTAACTGGACTATAAAAGACAAACTCTGTATGAAAAGGTTAAAAGTATTACGCTGTTATATTAATTGATTTTCTTTTACAGGTACAATACTTGAAATACTGAAATCACTGGAGCATGAAGCCCTTTTGTAAAACAGTGCTGTAATAGTATAACCTCACATCATAGATACACACCTATTGGTGAATAATGGAAGAGTCCAAATACAGTTAAAGCAGCTGAAACACTGACGGACCATTGTGTCGGAGCTAGCTAATCAGGATAGAAGTGTAGACCATTTCCAGGTTGCTTGTAAATAAGGAAAATTTCATCTGCATCTGTATCTTCCAGCAATCTACTGAAATTTAGCAAGCGGTTTTAATCAAATGTTTCCTGCTTCAACGGAACTATCCTATCAACGATTTGTTATTACCTGCTAATGGAATTAACTTTCATCAGCTCCTCCAACATGAAGAACGACTGCAGTTAGATGAGGGTTTGAACAGTGCCTCAGCAAACAGCAGGACTCAGATTGAAGTATTCTGCTACATGAAACGCCTGTTATGATTTTACAGTATAACGTTATTTACTGACTTTCTGGTGAATTCTCAAGCACCAAATAATTAACTCATCCTTATTAAAATTAGGTGCATTTTTTAGCATTCTATTCCAAAAACCAGAGAAAACTGAAATGCAATGAATATGTTATCAAACTGTGATTTATTTCTATGATGGTGTAGTTGTTTCAATTAAACAAATGGACTAAATTTGTTCCATTACGCATGGGTTTTCAAATGCAAATAGTGATGCCTGTCTAGTAAATTGCCAATGCCGAAGAAATTATTCAAACTCCCTTGACAATATAAGCTGGTAGGCAATACTGCTGACATTTACTTGTGCCGTTAAGGACGTTAATTGTTTGCTGACTAACGAGGAATATTACTAATTGATGCAAGATAGAGCTTTCTGCAGACTGCATTGATTACTTTTAATTATATATCAAGGTGAATATGTATAATTTTCAAAATCATATTTTAAATCTGAAATCTGCTGAAAAGTTAACGTAAGACATGCTTATAATTCAAATTCTAATAATAAATTAAATATATTTTACAAAGGGTGATGGAAATGCACTGCAACAGATGTCAGCCAATATATTTGCAAGACATATAGAAGCTTAAATTGAAAAAAACCAAAACCAAGGCAGCATTAACAATGTATAAATTACAAAAAGATTTTTTTGTTTTTCTAATCATACTCATGGTGTCGCTAAGCACAGTTGAAAGCACGGCTAGTTTCCTTAAGGAGCCATCTGATCAAACAGCATTGAAAGGAACAGATGCATCATTTACTTGTACTATTGAAAATCTCGAGCCTGGCTACATTGTTCAGTGGATTCAATCAGGAATAGTTGTACTCTCGCAAAATGAAAATGTAAGTGTAACTGTAGATCCAAAACATTTTCAAATTGATGCAAATCGTGACAGAGGCGAGTACAATTTGACGATTAAATCTGTCACGCTTACCGATGATAATCAATATAGTTGTGCTGTGTTTGAAAACGAGGGTGCATTCGAACCTATTATTTCATCAAAGAATGTTAGACTTACAGTAAATTATTTGCCAGATGAAAGCTATCCTGAATGTTCTGAAACACAGGGGAATGGAATATACAAGGAAGGTGATTATATTGAGCTTTGCTGTGAATCGGAACGTGCGTCCCCTCCCGTCACACTTCAATGGACAACAAATGATAAGGTTATACGCCAAGATATTCGTATTGATGACAGTGAAAATGGGATTCGCAAAATAATATACAAGTTTCAAGCAACTGCTGCACATAATGGGATGAGCTTTAGCTGTAAACTAACCTCCTCCGCGGATTCAACTTACAAGCGCAATTGTTCGACTGGACCAATCGCAATAACATACAAACCACAGGTTTTAATACCAAGTTATGAAAATGCTGTAGCACCAGGGCAAGAGATCTTATTCTTCTGCAAGTCAACAGCCAATCCTGTGGCAACAGCATTCCGGTGGGAATTAGAACCGGCCATCGATACTGATAGACTCGTTTTAAAACTCGAGAATCAAACACTGCAAATTTTAAACACAAAACCAAAAGACAATGGAACAAAAATTAAATGTTTTGCTTCTAATACAATAGGCGATGGTCATGCTCAGTTGATACTTCTTGTACATCCCTATCCCACAACAACGCCACGTTCTGTCGTAGCTACGACAAATTTCTCAGCGTTAATTCCACCAGCTGAGAGTACAAAAGGTGAGGAAGAAAGGCTGACATTAGCGATTATATTGTGCATAGCTACAATTGGATGTATAATGTTAATTTTACTACTTACAATTCCTATTCTAATTGTTTACTGTAATAAGAAAAAAGACAAAGGTGGTAATTATATTTCAAAGCCTGATTGTTATTTTGAGCCAAAGGACTGTAGGACTGAGCTGCCATATAGCCACACGCCTGCCGGACTGGGCTACACGGAGTGGGGGACAGGACGGTCCGTTTCAACAGATCACACACATCGGTACGACGAACCTATCTATCAGGAAGTTGAAGAGAAGGAGCCGACACTTCCGGAGGAGTTCCCTAAATATTATTACCCCGATCCATATGAAACACGTTCTTGTTTGCAAACCAAATATGATGAATTTCCAACAGTTTATGCGACAAGATCAATAATTATTTAATACTTTATCATTTATTTGTAAATAAGAAAGAAAAAACTTTTATTATGAAACTGTATAATGTTTGTTGAATTAGCATTTTGTTAGGTATCATACAGTAATTAGAATATCAATTATACAAATAATGATTTTATATGAAAATTATATTAAAATAAAAAATGAAGAGATTATTTTTGTAAACATTTCAACTCTTTTCAACTAAGATTTTACCAACTGTAATTCACCTCACTAATGTAATTACAATATAAATATTATCAAATTTGTTAGACCATTTCGGGAAAAGCCAAGGGAAAGAAAGCGCCTTCAGAGACTAAAAAGAAATATGGGAATTAGATAAAGATCAATAATGGATTCCATACAAATTATCCATGTTATGGTGGGGCACAGCTTCATATGGCATCTGGGAATAAATGCAGGATGTGTAAAGCCCATCAATATCTTCTTGTGGTATTTAAAAGCGCTTAAAAGTCCTGGAGCTTCCTGCTCCAGAGGAACCAAAAGAACAGATGTAATTGGAGATACAAGATTTTTAAAAATAAGTGGCCTTTCAAACTGGTGTGTCTTTCAAACGTGTCAATATTATTAGCTAGTGAGAACTTGTTTAATATTTGTACTTTATTTCCCAAACTTAAAAAAAAAAATATTTCCCTCCTATTTTTCGAAAAAGGCAGGGCTCATTTTTTTGCCCTAACAAAGATGGTCACAGCAAGAACAAATGGGTTTTTCAAACTTTAATGTGCGTTTCGCCTTTAAAAAAAAAAAAGAAAAATGTTTGCATAAACTCCTGTTCACACCATTAAGTTCCAATGTGACAAATACCTTTGGTTTGCCCATTGGGGACATCCATCATGCCCATATTTATTATTATTATTATTAGGCCTATGTGCTTTATTCATAGGGATGTGATATGACATCACCACGTCTACTTATGGGCAAATCACAGAATTGTCACAATAAAATTGATAGTGTGATCTGAGCTTTAACAAGCTCTGTCAAGATTATTACATTTTATGTGACAAATAGATGTGATATGTCCATATTTGACTGCAATATGACATCATCATGCTCATATGTGGCCACATCTCACATAACGTCACATAAAATTTGATAGTGTGGACAGGAGCTATAATTTTAAAGCACCAATTTGACGAAAAATATTGGTATTAAAGCTAGATATTAACAGTCAAATGATCCCAACAAAACAGATAAGTACCCAGTATATAACATTAATCATATTATAATATTACTGGTCGAAGTCAGCTTTATGTATCCTATTTGGTCGTACACAGTGGCCTATCTAGAACTCTTGAAATGAGGGTACTGATGGGGGAGAACAAAGGTGAAATTGAGGGGGGACCTTGATGATCAGTTGAGGGGCACTAACTCGTCAAATAAGGTGGTTTTTGGTGAATTTCAACTACTTGAGTGATTTTGGGGGAGGGCCCCGACTGTGGGGGGGAGGGAGAGATAAGCTACTGGTCGTACAATTTAGAATTTTTCTAAATTGAAAACTCCGACCAGGCAATCACTATCACGTTTGTAGTATCTATAAATGTTTCTGCAATTTATCAATGTTAAACAAGTTAGTTCACTCATTTTTGGGGTCCAATTTTTATGTTTAAAAATACTTATTTTAAGGAGCAATTTTCTCAATCTTTGGTTTGAAATGCAGTTATAATCATGATTATTTTTTTTAAAGTGCAATAGTGATTAAAATGAAACAAATATTACTTTAAGTAGTTGTTCCACATTATAATTTATAAAATGTATTTGTATTTTTAGTTTTTTGTTTCTTAAAATTCTATAAAAATGGTTAAAATCCCTGTAGGTTAATATGAAATGATCACTCAGAAGAGATTACGTCACAATGTATTACCTCAATTGTTTGATTAGTGTCCTTGTATAAATCCAATAATTAAAATCTGCTTAATTAGAAAAGATCACAATTATGCAGAAGAGAATGATTCATATCTAATAACCAAAAAGCAAATTACAACATAAAATTTTCTTTCATCTCGACTTCATAACCTATTTGATATAAAATATGTACATGGAGGCATCTTGGGAGTACTCAAATATGCTTGTCATAAAAAAATAAGAACTTAGCACTGGTTTAGCTGCTGCAGCTATAAAATAATGGTAGAGAAGCATATGAGCAGCTGCTTTTATGAAGGAATAGAAGCTTTATATTGACAACCTGAGTATCATCTCCAATAAAATGTTTTAAAAAACATTAAATATGCATTAAAATTCCTTGAATTTCTAAAGCAAAAAGAATATTCTTAATTTAAAAGAAATTGTTGCAGCTAATTTGAAATTAAGTAGACGACCATTTTTGGCAACATTGGTAGAAAGAATCCCAGATGATACTAAATCTGTATTAAAGCAGAAGAAAATATTCTTGCAAGCTCTACAGAGTAATGTGTACCACATGATCAGTTTCCTTTGATTCAATGTGAAATATATTTCTATCATTTTATGTAAGGTTTACCAGAAATATTTGATATGATATGATGCAATATTAATATATTGTCATTCACACAACATATTATATGAAATTCGATGTCTTCAGAGTTATTGTGGATCTCCATTATTTAAAAAATGTAGGCCTATCATGCGATGAACAAGACACCAGGAACTGTGTTAACATGGCATCAATGTAGATTTTCATTTCATAGTCACTGTATTGATTTTTACGAGACTGTTTCCTTTTTGAGTAAAATATTATAATGAACAATATAAATACGGTAATATAATTATGTATTATAATATGATAATATTACATAATATATGTAATATTATTTTATATTGTTATGATATGTATAATATATCTAATATTTTATGAATTTGTAATATATCATAAAACATCATATTTTCATTACTTTTTGAGATATTCATATTTCTCTATAAATTCAAAATTTAACAAGCAAAATATTAGATATCTACAATATGGACATCCCAGTGGCTTAAGCCCATTTACCTGCTGGGAAAAGGGGCTTAAGCACTCTTATGAGACCCAAAAATGAAAACACCTTCCATCGGACAGGCCAAAGCCAAGATGTTGGAGAAAAAAGTGACCAAAAAAATGCTTTGTTTTTGTCTGGAAATTTCTTTTGGCATAATAATAATAATAATACATTCTAGCATCTCAAAATACAAAAAAAAAATATTAAAATTTCTTTTGGTGCTGAAAAACATGTTGAGCCTCTTGTTAGAAACCTTTGCTGTTTATCCTATAGCCATTGCTATGCTGGGTTTGATGCCACATTTTCTATGATCTGTATCCTATGTACAAGCACATTAAATTCATTCACATAACACATCACACTTCACTATGTTATTAATTTCTCATAAGGTGCTTTATATGTAGACGGCTGCTATATTTATGTGCATTTGGATTTATGCTTACATGTTAGCAATGTTCTTCAAGCTACACAAATGGGTTGTCTTTTATGCTCAATGAAAATATTTTAAAAGAAGATAATTGCTAGAATATTAAAATATCTGAAACACAAATGAAATTCGTGCTTACGTTTTTTTCTTACCACGTTATAATTATTCATATAGATAATTCACATTAAATACTGATTGATACTGCTGGAAGCTTCCTGTTTAAAGGTTAACTTGGAAGACCCAATTCATTCAAGCATGTTCAGACGAGACTTTTTTTACCGATGCCCGACAATAATGATGGTTTCGAATAAAATTAACATAATTAGCGCACCCGCCACCACAAGAAAATGGACATTTCCGAAAAAAAAAATGTTCTTTAATTTTTATTACGACTGCCATACTGGCTTGAAATCTCCAAAAATAAGATTTCTTCCTAATTATAAAAAATGTATTAAGCACTTAACCATCCCATTACTACACTGTTGTCATTCACCAATAATATTTTATTTTTATTTTCTTTATTTGCTTAACAAGAAAACAAAATTTTATTTATATTTTTCCGCCCACCTCTGATGATCTTTAAAAAAATAAGTTAGCGAAACAAGATAAAAAAAAGGCTCGCCTCATTGAGTGACTAAAATTGATAGTCAACCAGCACTTGGGAATTAAAGCATTTGGTTTGAAGATGTCAACTACTGCATGCAAATAGTGTAAACTATCGTGGCTGGTATTTTCATGGTGTACCAGCAGGCATGGCTGCTTTCCCCGTGCTGACATAAGCGTTGACGAAGGAATGCTGATAACTTCTTGAAAGGGATGGACATAGCATTACTGTAATTGGTTTGCGAGTGGTACAAATTGATGCCGATGACTGAGGTGAATAGGGTAATGATAATGCCAGTGGTGATTTGGGTGATGAAGTTAATGATGATAACAAAAGTGAAAATAAGTATAAGGATGAAAAAAATAATGGATGACGATGACAAAGAATGACGATAATAGTAATGATGAAAGATGAATGATAATGATGATGGTAGTGGTGATCATGTTCTGTAAATAATGAAAATACATGTATAAATGTCTGCACAGTGAGTGAACAATAGTAATGATAAACATGAATGTGATAATAAAATAAATGAAAATATAACAAATACCGGAATAACAAAATCATTAATATGACATAATAGTATGAATAATCATCCCCTTTAAAGACTTTTGTCTTTGGTAATACTTCTTCATTTTACTAATAATGAACTAATAATGAAAATATATTTCCCAGCTTGTATCTAAATCAGTCACTAACTGTGATTACTTCATATCTATTCAAGCATGTTGAATTAAACATAAAAAAAAAAAAATCAATTTTGTATTCTTATGGTAATATCACACCTTATCAGGTTAAACATGTGTCTATTGTTGGCCGTAGAGATGGATGACCACAATAATTAAGACGCCTAGTAGGCTAGACCATAAAGTCATGTTCTATATTTCGCCTATTGTTTATTCAGATGGACAGAGTAATTATCATAAGCTGTTATGCTAGCATTAATTGTTATACGACACTACATTTATACTAGCCTGACTACAGGATCGATGGTTATACCAGCACACACAATGCGATTTGGTGAAATAAAACAGGATATGACATCATTAAGTGAAATCACCATAATCAAGAAATGATTTTAGCATTTAAAAAAAAAAATTTTGCACTTTAGGAAAATATGCATTTGGAAAATGATTGCCAATAGTGAATGTACCACCTCTTTCTGGAATGGAATTACTGTTTTCACATGGATCAAAACCATGGATTGGTTTTGTAGATAAAAACAGTGGCTCCAATTGTTCGCCATGACCTGTCATTGATCCCAGTCCTAACAGTGGTGCACCTTGGAAAAGGGGGATGGGGGTGTGTGCGAGGGTGTATGTCCTAAGAAGGTGCTTGCTCTTATTGGAAATCAAAATTACACATATTCATCTGCCAAGCAATGCAATTTTCTGTACTTTTATATGGACCAATAAAATTTCTTAAATCTTGTGTCCCCACGCTTAACCCTTGCGTCCCTCATTAGTCCCCCTTCCCTAGTTCTATGGTTGTGTTCTTTTTGACTGAAGGGTAAAATTTAACTTTTGTTGGCAGCAATAATGATTCCTACTGATACAGTCACAATAATTAATGTTCTTCACTCTTGTGAGATGAAATAAAATCGAACTCAAAATAATTATCAATTTATTCATCTGAAACAGAATAAATTTAGAACAAAACATGAATGAAAATATTTACTATAGAGTAACATGATATATACAAGTTGAATGGTGATTTCATTCATTAAGAAGGGATTGAGAATTAAATGTGTTGAGATTGTAGCATGAACAGCAAGAGCAAAATGAATAAATCTACATTAACTTGTTACTACACGGCAAGTAAGTCAACAAAGCAGCATGGATAAATAAGTCCCACAAAAACATATGTTACAAACTTACAAATACACTGTGGGGCCTGGGCATGCCAGCTGAGATGATACTCGGATAACAGTAGCTGATAATCATAATGTAAAGAACGTTTAATGATCTATATGGGGCTGTGTATACATGTGTACGAGGAAGGGTTTGTACAGTGCGAACTGGACGTAACACCAGCTGCGAGTGCATTGCGATAACACTAGCCAATATCAATAAGTTCTATGAGCACAGGTGCTGTAGTTGGGGGTGAATGTGTAATGGTGAGTTTGCACTCAAACCGTTTATACACAGCCCAGTTGTGATGAAACTGTTGTAACAGTGTTTAAAGTTAACTGCAATTATTTGATGGTTTTATATAGGGGTATGTGTTGAGTGGTTTTCACTCACAGGCCTGGACATGTCAGATTGGAAATAGGCCAGATGCGAGGACACTGCGATTACAGTACACATGAAATTTAACTGAATTCATAGGAGGGCCCATATTTGGTGGTGTCTTTACTGTTGCGCTGTGCAGTAGAACATCACACCATATAAATTGTAATCCACTTTGCATGATTGCATGTTTTTAGGCAAGAGTTACACGATTAATCTACAAATGATGTTTGTGCACAATAGGTGGTCAAATATTGAATGGTTGGTAACAGTACGTCATAACTACTGGGCCTTGTTATTTTTCAACTATCCTATTTTCTTACGTTTAGTTCACTTTTATTTTCAACAATATTCATTCATTCATTTTTCTAAATTTAGAAATAAATATCCATTAAAATAAATACAAAAACTAACATTAATGTACATACATACATAACTTTTATTGAACCAAACCACTACAAAAATAATCACAATGGAGAAATGATTGGTACAATACTTACAATAATAATTATGTGATTCTTATC